ATTAGAAACTCCAAGTCACGATGCCGACATCGATCTGATTCGGCAATTCTGCTGCTCTCACTTCTATCTCTGCCTTGCCACCATGTCTCAGACCACCGCTTCTGTCTCTTCGACTGTTGAACTAAATTGGGAGATTTTCCTATAGTGCTTTCGTCGGTTTTTCCTTTTTCCCGCCAGTTAAGATTCGCTTCACATCTCTACTATTATTTTCGAGCACAGTAACCACACCAAGCTGAACTAAGCTTGTCAGATACATATACTCAATTAGGCGAAAAAAGTTCATGTCCTATTCGAGTGAGGGGAGCCTAGTATATCTCTTTGAGGCAATGACACTCTCCATATAGCTTCAAAATCATTTTTCTCATGTATGCTTATGAGTCGTTTCAAACTGAGGCTTCCAAACTCGAAGATACTGTTAAACTCGGCTCGTGTAGTTCTATAAGGTGGTGTTTTCAGGTTTTGAAGGAGCTCCATCTTCGATTGTGGTGCACTCGAGTAATTCCCGAAAAGTTATTGTTGATATGTGTTTTGTGTACAATCCCGTTTATGTAAGTTGGTCGTTCATAAATGGGTTTCAACACTTCCTTAGAATGCGTCACGCTTGACTTAATCCACTCACTTGTGAGACTGATAAAAATTTTTTCGTATTCCAGGATCGCTGTTTTATTTTGATGCGCTAGATGATTAACACGTTGACGACATCGCGTGTTTTGGCATTTTGCACCGCGTGGGACAGGAGCGATTTTGCGAGCGCGCCGTCCTCACCTTACTTCCGCTTATTTTTTGTTTAAAATGCACAACAACTTGAATCTCATAGAATTATTTCGGCAAGGATGAAAGCATAAAGGTTAACTATATAAACTGTATAAATGGCAGTAGATTTTTGTTTAGAAGAACGCATAATGACCACGAAGAAGCAAAAAACATCACTTTCGCTGCGAATGAAGTTAAAAGCATTTATACCTAAGTTCTTCCATCAAATACAAATATCTTGAAACTCACAGAGTTTTGTATTAACTGCTTCTACAATCTTTCATATGAATGTTTACGACAGTGAAAGGAATACTAGGAAAGAATTGAAATGAAAGTTTTGTGCGTTCAGAAAATCTTTGCTAAATCAAGGGATATTTGACCACTCTGGCTGCCATGTGGTTTATAGTTATGCTAATGTATTATCTATAGAATGAATGCAAAAAAAACTCGAGAAGAAGGAGCGCAAGCACAATAAAAATGAACAACATAGTTCAGAATGTCCGATGCGGTGCAAAAGTTCTGACGCGCTTGCGCGTCAGCCTGTCGTCAACGTGTTAAGTGTAGCCCATGCGCGCAACCGTACTCTCGTACTCGTGTCCCGGCAATCAGGTGCACTTTATTGCAAGTAGTCGTTAGGGCGCACCCCGTGGCTAGAGCACGTGAGCGTGGAAAAGCTCAGCACTCCATTGGGGCAAGTAAACTGAAAAGGAAATGGAGCCAGAGTGAGACGTTGTCTCATTCAAACTGCCAATCTCTTTTCACTGATGATGAGGGAGTATTCACAGGCGAGCTAGTCTTGAATCCAGTACTTACTTAAAAAACCTGCCATTTCTCAAACAACTAGAGCTCTGTATAGACGCTTTCTTTATCCGAAACATGGTTAAAGGCACAACCCAGGCAGAGGTCGTGTGAACTCTTCTCTTCGGTCAGAAGTATAGAACCCTAGGGGACAATCACAAATGTGGCGTTCACGTGCACGGAATTCGACCGACAAGAACGCTTTGGGCTTGCAAAGTAAGCTGCTCGAGCTGCAGCGAACGAGCTCTCTTATCAGGCCGTTGTCTGGTGCTCTCTCATCTGATGCGCTCTCTCGCCCCATACTCTCCTCTTCGCGCTTAGTCTCTCGTTCCTTTAGCACAGCCAATTAGGAAGGTGAGTGAGCCCTCAACCTGAGCGTTTTCGACGGATTCTTTTCCTTTTTTCTTCACTGCCGGCCCACTTGGCACCGATACATTCACATTCGTGTGCAAGAGCCACACCAGTGCGATCCTGGGGCATGCCTTTAAGGTGATCAACGTGCGATTCAGTTTTTTTGTTGCTTTTACTTCACAAAACATAAAATAGAAGCGAAGATCATTGCATACATTTCCTGAAACAAGTCCTCGAACCAAGGAAAGACTTAAATGCTTCATTGAAAAAGTTTTGTAAGACCCGAAACACAAAATACTTGCTTAGCCAACGGTGAAGAAATCAGAGATCGATTGGCTTGGGTACAAGTGACAAAACCCGAAAGCTCCAACACAAAATCTGGAATTACGCATGTCCGAGAGAAGTGGTGAGAGCGCAGCTCAACTGGGATCTTGGGATGTGTGGATTCCCAGAAACAAGCTTATATTGCATACCAACGCACTCGGGGTTGTCTATCAAACACGCCGCTCAGTCATTCCCTGAGAGGAGATCGCTCATCTTTTCGTCGATAGCAGGTTAACTGGATGACTCCCGACTCGGAATGATCATTTGCTTTTTGTTTATTAACCTTCAGCAAGCATGTTTCTGTTTCACACTTGCCTTTTTATGGTTGTACAGATTTTCCATGACCGCCTTATCTTGTTACTGTAATTTCTAGCCACCCTTTATATGCTTGGGATTTCACGCAGGTATCGAATTTCGAGCGAATATTACACATACATCATAAATTGAAAAGAAAAGTTCGAGTAAGTAGCGAGAAACAATTTCTCCCCACCCACAAGGGACCTGGCTGTATTCTTAACAAGGTTTGCTTCGTTATTTTCTCTTTTCCTGATCAGCAGATTTTACTGGTGTGGATATGTGTTGTTGTTTCGCTAACCACCTGGGAGATTTTGGTGGGCATTACCTCCCACGTTTTCCACCTTTAGCAGCTAATGTCTCTCTCCCCACTTCTGACAATAGACTCATCTTCCGCAAGCAACGTAAATATCTGAGTGGTAGCAGGAATCTGACCAAATGATGTCTGCGATTTACTAGGAGATGATTCAACTTACCTTGGTGCCCCCATAGCGTTTCCAGTGGAAGCAGTTCTTGGTCATCACAAAGCCGTTGTCTGAATGCACTGTCATTGTGTCGAGACCATCTCGCCATGTAACTACAGCGTACAAGCCAATAGGTCCATCAGTTTCGCGGGTGACAGAGATGCAGAAGCATCAATGGATGATTGTCTCGCCTACTGTAGCGGTTCCGCGTCAATTCAATAGAGCTATGACATCATGTCAGTGATTTCACGGCATAATTAGGAAATCCGATTCTTGCTAATTGCATTTTTTTCAGATTTTTTATTTTTTATGTTTCTTTGACGTATTTGTAGCTTTGAGTCATACGAGTCAGACATCTGCTCATCCACTTTGAGCTTCAGTTGTGTTTGTTCAGGTAGGAAGTCAGAATTCCGTCAAATTGTGAGCCATTTGAAGGCAGGGGGCCAAAAAAAGAGTCACTTTCATTCACATTCAAAACAGAATTAATTACTCTGTGCGAAACCTAAC